AAGAAACGCGTGCGGAACATGGCGGGCGTCAGCCGTGGGGGTGGAACTAATGGTGAAGTGCTCCATTTGAAAAAAAAGAGCCACACCGCCATCTGGTGATCGTCACAATTATTCTTTTTTTAGTCATTTGTTTTTTATTATTGGGAGAAAACTCATTAGTTTCTTAACTTGTTGACATTTTTTCCCTCCAGTGCCTTTTCTTTGTAGCATCCCCTCCTGGAAAGGACCTACTTTGTTTCTACTTTTTATTTTGATAAAGAACAAATGTTTGCATCTACATCCCCATTCAGTTGCCTGACAATTTCTTGGCAATAATTTCCTAAGAAAGGGTCAAAGATTATTGTTTAATGTAAAGCGTTGGATATGCATTTTCCAATTGTCCTTCCAGGGAATAAAAAAAGACCTAATCACAACCCAAGGCCCTCCCCCCGCCCAATCCCACCTCAACTTTTTAAGGCAGCACAACTTTGATGCTCAAACCTGAGAAGGACATTATAAGGAATGAAAACTATAGGATACCATGTTAGAAAGCTGAATCAATTTCTCTCTCCCCCTCTCTATCCATCTATCTATTTACTGGTATATTACAACCATATTGTTTATTTTCATACTTGAGATTAATGTGTAAAAATAAACTGTTGACAACCACCACACTGTAAGACACGAAGGAGGAAAAGCACATGACAAGCTCAGTGAAGCAGAACGTGCATTTGAGAAGGACGTGGGTGCAAGTGTTTATTTGGAAGATGATCCCAGGAAATCCAAGAGAGGAAACTGGGAAAGTGAGACAAAGGTGGAAGAGAAGCGAGAAAAAAAATGCAGTGTCCGGCTGGTGTGGCTCCATGGTGGCTCCTATGAACCAGGAGGTTAGGATTCAATTCCCCATCAGGGCACATGCCCAGGTTGTGGGGTCTGAGTGGGGCCAGGGTGCTTTGGCCCCTGCAAAGCAGGTAGTGCTCCGAGGCTCACTTGAAAATGAATTGCCTTGGGAGGGGTCCAAGGATCAATGAGCCACCATTTGGAGGCCTTGTCACGAGGAGAAGGATCCTGGTGCTTCCAAATTGCTCTGTTTCCTGCGGGTGAATTTCAGAGCTCCCTGGATGCCAGCTCCTGCGTCCTCATGCCCAATGTTGTGATGCCCATGAAAGCACACTGACCATCCAATCTACTCTTGAACACTTACAGTCCCAATACAGGCAGTCTGGTCTGTTGTGGGACATTCTTAACTAATAGAAAGTCCTTTTATCTGAACCATAACCTCTCTCCCTGTGACCATCATGCACTGATTTTTGTCGACATCAGAGGCCGTGCAGCACACTGTGCCTGTGCACGATTTGTTAGTAGCTATCAAAATGTAAAATATGCATACGCTTTGGCCAACACTTCTAGGAATCTATTCTGCAGATACACGGACAAAGTATCTATATCTATAAAACCCTAATATGCAAATAGACGGAATGGTGGAACAACCGAACAACCGGTCCCACGCTGTCAGCAGGTGCGGGGGGAGGGGGAGGGAGTTGGGTTGTGATTAGGTCATGAGGGTTGAGCCCTCATGAATGGGATTAGTCCCTTATAGAAAAGGCGAACAACTGGTCCCACGCTGTCAGCAGGGGGGGCGGGGGCAGTGGGGGAGTTGGGTTGTGATTAGGTCATGAGGGTGGAGCCCTCATGAATGGGATTAGTCCCTTATAGAAAAGGGTTCTCTCCAAGACAGGACCGTGTGGCATCCCATGCTTGGTCTTTCAGCTTCCAGAAGTGTGAGAAATAAATTTATGTTTCTGATAAGCCACCCAGTCTATGTAATTTGTTGTAGCAGCCTGAATGGATTAAGACACCACGCTTTCCTCCGGTATCAGAAAGGAAAGGTCCTCTTTAGACCCCACTTTCCCTCTGTGTTCTAGATCCTAGTCATCCCACTTCACTGGGGTCTTTTGTGCAATACAACAGCCCCTGTTCCCTGTACACAGCTGTGTTCCAAGATACAGAGCCATCAAAATCTTTGCACACAACACATACTCATCTGCTTGTCTGCAAACATCATACCAGCACCAAAGTTGAGCAAAGGGGCGATGGATGGTAGGGGCACCATCCCAGTTACAACAAACATTACTTCATGATACTGAGATGGGCACTGCCCTTACCTAGAGATGCAAAGAGAGATTGTCCTAAACCCTGGGAGGTAAACCCCACAGTGAGAGAATCCATTTTCACTTGTGGATGCCAGGACCTACCCCTTTGCTGGCCTGAGCTGACTGTGAGGTGAGTAGCAGATCGAAAAGGCACTGGGTGAAGAATATAGGAAGACATCCACCGTGTTCCCATAATTTCGGAATCAGTCAGGGCTCCATAAAAAAATGGTTTAAACTTTGATGGGAAATGGGGAGACATGAGAATCTCTATGGCTGAGCACCTGAGAGAAGAATGTTTGCATGTGAACTATTTAAATAAATGAGGCTGACATCTGGCTGCTGCTGTGTGATATCAGCCTAGGGTCACAGTGACTCTGGCATTGCTCGAATGGAGCCATTTTTCTGGCTTTTGTATAAAAGTGTCGCTGATTACTTCTTCCTCCTAGAAACGCCTTCTTGGCACCAATGACAACCCACTCTCCTGGTTTCCTTATTTCCTGGACTGTTCCTTCTCTGTTTCCTTCCCGAGTTGTTTCTTCTCCCCTGTCTCTGGTGAACTCATCCATCTCCTGGTTTTACCTATGTCTGTGCTGAGAACTTTCCAACTCTACCACCAGCCCAGCTCCTCCATAGAGCTTCAAAATCATAGCCAAACATCTGCATTTGGCCGCCTCCATCTGATGTCAAGCTTTGCCACTAGCTGTTCTTTTTATCTTCACCTGTGTCTCTCTTCAGATGTAAGAGAACATCTTTTTGTTTATTGTAAAAGCCTTGTTTACCTCCTGAGATCACCAGTGGAGCCTTACAACAGTACTTGGGCCATTTCACCGAGGGCACAATGTACATACCTGTCTTTGAGGTAAAAGGCAAGCAGAGACCAGAGGTTAAGACTTAGCAGAAACTCTAGAAGATGAGGCCGGAGTGTTTTGGGAAAGGAGTCAAAGGCTGGTCCTGCAGTCTTTGGTGCTCTCTGAGACTCACCTGGAAAAAACATCACATTTGGAAGGGCCCAGGGCCAAATGAGCCACATTTGAGAGGTTTTCCCAAGGGCGAATGTCAGAGATTCCTTAGATGTCAGCTTCTCTAATGCCCTCTACAGAATCCAGATCACTAACTCTATTCTTGAAAACTTATTACTCCAACCCAGGCAACCTGATCTGATGTGGGTTATTTTTAACTATGAGGAAGCACTCTATTTTTAACCATGGTCTGTCTCCTCCTGACGGTCATGCACTGATTTTATATGTCAGAGGTAGTTCAACATGGTTGTGCACACGTGAACAATTTGTTAGTAGTTACCAAAATGTTAAATGTGCATAGCCATTGGCCAGTAGTCTCACCTCTAGGAATGTATTCTGCAGATATATGAACAAAAGTGTACAAAGGTGTATGAGGATGTTCACTGGTGAACTGTAGTGGTTCTTTTCCTCATTGGCTCAGGCTCATGAGGGTCACAAATGCTAAATCATGGATCATGCAAGGTAGATTGGTAAGTACCACAAGAAAGCAGCCAAGTAACATTAAAAGGATCTGGCTGTTTTCCTCTCTGGATTATGAGCTCCATAGGGCGTGAGGTCAGGTCTACTGTGTAATTAATTGATGTCTCCTGTGGGAGGAAATGCTTCATTGTGCTGCTTGCCTACTCTGTGCCAGGTGTTGTGAAACTGGCACTTTACTGTCATAGCTAATGCTCATAATGAGACAGGCCAGTAAACTAAGACAAGTGGATTAGGGAAACTGAGGCATATAGCTAAACAAACTGGCAGAGTAATTTACCCAGATACAGAAGGTCACCTCCCTAGAAATGACATCTAGGCCTCAACTGCATTTCAGCTCCAGACCCAGAAGAGCACCAAAACCATGTGGGTGACACCAGGATCGGCTGCAATGACTGACGAGCCCCTGCTCTGACACTGACCAATCAGTAACGACCACGATTCTGTTGAAACCCTCCCCCGAGACCTCCCCTAAGATTCCCACCTGCAAGAAAGAGATAAAGCCTCCAGACAAATGACCCAGCCCGTCCTCTCCCTCTGGAGAGCAGACCCCTCACTGCTCATAATGAGACAGGAATTGGCCCACATCTCTGTCAGGTGTGCCCTCTCCTCTGCGGAGGTTCTCCCCAAAGGGGCCTGTCTTTTCACAATAGACAATTCAGCCATGCAAGAAAGGGATCAAGTGAGCAGGAAATGTGAAGGAATCAAGTGGGAACTAGGTGAACATGGGTCAACTGTTTATTCATAAAGACACCCTCATCCTTTCCAGGTATGCTTTCCTACAGGCACCTCCAGTAAGAATCCTCCTCTAAAGCTGCTTATGAACAAACAGGTAAAACCACAGAAAGGAGGGCAGGAAATAATTTAGAGATATCAAATGCTCAAATCGATGACAGGCATGACTTCTCACCCCAACAGTTTCCTCTGTAAGTACCCTCAGCTCTCAGGGAGAACAGCTGAGGCTGCAGGGCAGGGGTCAGAAAGGAACTGAAGAGATATTAGACTGGGTCTTTATGTGCAGTCACCACAGTTTATGCAAGTGTATGTAAAACATAATAAGAGTATAATAAAATATAAAATGTCACTTTAACATAGCAATAAGCAAGGCCACCAAGACCAAAGACAGTAAATGAGCCAGTCATAGGAACGAGATATCAAAAGCAAGAGTGTCTGAAGTGCAAGTACAGATGTGTCTTTTAGACATTAGCACCTGTTATGGAAGGAGAGAGAGTAATAAAGAGGACTAATATTAACTAAAAATCTGCTCTGTATTATACTTTTATTGACCAATAAGAAAAAAATATTCAGATGGGCAAAGCAGGCTTGCCTGAAGTCACACAATCTTTGAATAGTTGAGCCAGGATTTAAACCCAAGACCATCTGGTTCTGTACCAAAGTCTTTCCACCATTCCAAATTCCCAGTGAAGGAAATAAAGGGGATACCTGGTCAAGAAGCATCCATTTCAAGGTTCAGGACACTTCCAGAGATACAGGTCAATCTATATGCTTGAGATGGGGAAACACATAAACATCACCTTTATTGCATTTGATTAACTATCTCTTTCCATCATTGCACAAGAATTTTACAAGTATCATTAGGGGTCATGCTAAGCCCCTCCTTATAATGCAATTTCTAGGAATTTATTTATTTTTTATTCAAGCTTTCTCCATGTCCTCTATAGGGTCTGGCTGTATGGCCAAAACTATGATAAGCTAATATTAGCAATTTCACAATGTCTGGTTATTATTATATTGTGTAATAAGGAATATGTAACTTGACATCATTCTGTATACATAATTTGTTCTATTGACCATTCAGTTCAAAGCTATACATGCCATGTAGATTAAGTTTTGCATCATCTTTGCTGAATTACACATCATCACACTACAGACATGAATTATCTTGTAAAACTTTATGTATAATGATGTCTTCCACAAATTTATCAAATTACTCAGGTTTCTAGTATTTATTAAGGCTTGAGCTAATACTGAAGGCTTTTCTGTGTTCACTTCATTATGGTTTTGCCATTGTTATGAATTCTCTGGTGCACAGTGAGTTGTGACTTCTGTATGAAGGCTTTTCCACATGTAGCACACTGATAGGGTCTTTCCCCAGTATGAATTCTCTGATGTAAAACAAGGTCTGACTTTTGAGAAAAGGCCTTTCCACATTCAGCACACATGTAAGGCTTCTCTCCTGTATGAATTCGCTGATGTCCTGGGAGGTGGGACTTCTGAGAGAAGGCTTTCCCACATTCAGTACATATATAAGGTTTTTCTCCTGTGTGGACTCTCTGATGTCCAATGAGATGTGATTTCTGACAGAAGGCCTTTCCACATTCATTGCATTTGTAGGGTTTCTCTCCAGTATGTGTTCTCTGATGTATGATGAGCTGTGACTTCCGGGAGAAGGTCTTCCCACATTCAGTACATTCATAAGGTTTCTCCCCAGTATGAATTAACTGGTGTGTGATGAGTTCTGTCTTCCTGCTGAAGGCTTCTGCACATTGATCACATTTGTAGGGTTTCTCTCCAGTGTGAATTCTTTTATGTATAATGAGGTGGGACTTCTCACAGAAGGCTTTCCCACATTCAGTACACTCATATGGCTTCTCTCCAGTGATGAGTTCTATGATGTATAATCAGTTGTGACTTCTGGGAGAAGGCCTTACCGCACTCTCTACATTCATAAGGTTTCTCTCCAGTGTGGATTCTCTGATGTATAATGAGGGGTGATTTCTGGGAGAAGGCTTTCCCACAGTCACTACATTCATAAGGTTTTTCCCCAGTATGGACTCTCTGATGTATAATGAGAGATGATTTTTGAGAGAAGGCTTTTCCACATTCAGAACATTCATAAGGTTTCTCCCCTGTATGAGTTCTCTGATGTACAATGAGATGAAACTTCTCACTGAACCCTTTCCCACATGCACCACAATCATATGGTTTCTTTCCAGTATGAATTCGTTGATGTACAATAAGCTGTAACTTCTTAGCAAAGCCTTTTCCACATGTAATACATACACAGGTTTTCTCTTTAGTTTCAACATTCTTATAATGAAGAAGGGATTGTCTAGTTAAAATGTTTTTACCATCACAGGGTATTACTCCATTTTGAATTTTCTCAAGATTAGAATTGGACACATCGTGGCTAGATGATTTTTCACATCCAAATCTCTCATCAGGATTTTTTCTTGAACCAATCTCATTACAACTAGGTAGGTCAATATTAGATTTCAAGTACTTTTTAAATTCATCATAGTTATGGGGTCTTTGTCTTGAAGTATCTGGCTCTATGAACTCTTGAAACATTTTCCCCAATGCCTTATATTTATGGCCTGCCTCCAGAGTCACTCTGTTGTTACTGATAACTGTTACTTGACTGAAAAGTCTGTCTTGATTTTGTGGACATCTCTGCAGCTGGCCATCAATGTGACATACTTTTAAAATGGAGTACAATGAACCATCCTTTGTGACTCCTTTAAGTGTCTTATTATGGAAGGAAAAAGACCCAAAAATACATGATTGGGGGTTGTCAAGGTTACTCTTCCTGTCTAAAGAAAAGAAAGATAAATAAAACAATCATAAAGAACAGTTAACAGAACACAGAGGTGTGAAACAAATAATTGATCTAATGTAGATGAACTCAGAAAACAAGGGTGGAGACAGGCCATTTTGTAAGATAGTACAGCATATAGTATGATCAGGTGAATGGACATACAAAGATCTCAAAGAGAAATATTCATGGCAAAGATAGACTTGAAGTAGAGAGAAAAGTGTTCATGTTATTAACACTCTAATCTTGGATTACTATACTAGCATCTTCCCATTTATACCGCCTTCTTAATGAAAACACCTTTCGCCTTTTTAGTTCATTTATTTTATAAACCATTTGATACACACACACACACACACACACACACACACAATTGTCCTGCCACCACTATCTAAAGAAATAAGTACTCTCTGGTACTCAAAATACTTTACTTCTCTGTCTACATTCCTAATTAACAAATAATATAAACAACAGAATAATCCACAATCCTCTTATGGGTTCAATATCAGACTCACACCAAGAATCCAAACTTGAATTCCACTATTCCTCATAAATATCTTTCCCACATTCAGTACATTTATCTTCTATATGCATCAAATAAAACTAGCAAAGTTCACCCAGAAGAGCCATATTTCCCTAACTCATATACTACCCCCCCCACCATCACCACACTACAGCAGTTTGACTTCATCTTCCTCCTTTGGCATCATCAATACTTGATATCTTTCAAAGCAGCTACTGCTGCATACTCTAAAAATAACTTCTCAAATTCTGTTGCATCTCTTTAGATTCTAATTTTCTCTGAACTTTTAAAATTGGAAGCTATATTCGATATTTAATTTTGTATAGCCATGCACCTGGAAGTCTTACCTTCTAAGGTATAACCTATGTATCTTGTATGGCCTATTAAGACTTTTCATAAAAGGTAAAGGGATATATATATGAAAGAGTGGGGATCAGTAAGAAATAGCTCCCCCTGTAAAGACTTATAATTATTTAATTGATTATTAGTTGAATGCCTACTAAATTCTCAGCACAGCAGCAAAGAATAAGAGATTTCAATAAGGATAGAAACATAAGCCTTGGGCACCAATCTGTTAAATAAAATAAACCAACAAACTGATATTTCACTTCTCTTGTCTCCCATCTGCCAGATTTTTACCTGGATAAATCCAATTTGATATGTCTCTCTTAATGATCCATGGATCTTCTCCTTGTTCCAACTTGGAGATTACCTCGGGTTTGGAAACTGGATGCCCTATTAAATGGAAAACACAGAGGAACTAGGATACACTATATTGAAGGAAGAAGAGAGGGTACCGTTCAAGTGTACAGTGAAGCAGTCCAGGTAGCCCTCAACAGAGTAATGACCTCCATTTGGGAAGGTATGAGGATCATAAAAGTTATTATATGTCAGGAACCACCTAACCACAGCAACTGATAAGGAAAGGTATTGGATTGTACAAGTCTTGGTTATGCAGAAAGCCATCCTTACCCATGGAGACCAGATGGCTGTAGTTCTCCAGCATCACATCCCTATACAGGGTCCTCTGAGCAGGGTCCAGTTGCTGCCACTCCTCCTGAGTGAAATCCACAGCCACATCCTTGAATGATACTAACCCCTGTAACAGTATATTCCTGTTCAATCTGAAGTGGCCATTCTTACTTCTACTAGAGCATGCAATACCATAGCTACACTTGGTTTTATATCATATTATCTAGGATAAACAATGTAATATACTGTCATTAGCTGGAAGAGCCAGATAGACCTGGACAGAAGAGGCAAATAATAAAATGTCTACCTAATACAAATGATAATTTGATATATGATAAGGGCAGCATTCAAATAACTGGGAGGAAAGTGGATTATTCAATGGATAGTAGTAAAAATAGTGGATAGTCAACAGGTAAAGAATAATGCTGAATCCAGGTTAAATTGTCTCCCCTGAAAACTCGTATGTGGAAATCCAACTCCCAGTGCCTCAGAATGTTTCCTTATTTGCAAATATGTCATTGCAGATGTAGTCAGTTGCATGAGGTCGTTAGGGTGGATTCTAATCCAATATGACTGATGTCCATATCAATAGGAGAAAGTTGAACAGAGGGACAGGTGGACATAGAGAGAAGAGGATGATATGAAGAGACATGGGAGAAGATGGCCATCTATAATCCAAGGAGAGAGCCCTGAAACGGATCCTTCCCTCACAGCCCTTCGAAGGAACCAATCCTACTGACATCTTGAGTTTTAACTTCTAGCCCCCAGAACTGTGAGAGAATAAATTTCTGTTGTTTAATCTACCCAGTTTGTGGTACTTTGTTATGGCAGTCCTAGCAAACTAATACACCGTATCTTATGTCTTAGAAAACAGAAAAAAATCCATTCCAAAGAGAGCCAAAATTTAAATGATAAAAAATACCGAAGGCCATAAAAGTAACAGAACAAAACATGAGAGAATTTTTATTAATAATTATAGAGGAGAAAAGGCCTTTCTAAGCATAACACTTAGAAATCACAGAATGTCAGAGTTCTTGAATTAGATCATAATCGAATCCCCTCATTTTATAGAAACATAATCTTAGCTTCTCTGAAATCCAACAGTTCTACTACATATACTCAATAGCCAGTAATATAATGAAATACATCAATTGAAATAGCAATATCACAGAACAAACTTAAGAAATGTGCAGGAAATATTCATGGGGGAGGGGGAAGAACACCCCACCAAGAAATTATTGACATGGCATTAAAATGAAGGACTTGGGTAAGTGTAGAGCGAGAAGGTGGTTCTGGAGGGAGAAGTAACCATTTTAATGATGTCAGCATTATGTTCACAACATTTGTCATCTAACAGAATCTGAACGATCTGTATTATTTTAAACTATTTGTCAGTCTTTCCTAAATATTCCATTATTATAAAACACTGCTTTCAGAAGGAAAACAAATTAAATATTGTTTCAAATATCAACATTCCCCTGCTTAAAAAGCCTCCTTTGGACCCATCCTCCTGGAACATACAAATAGCCTCATCTCAATCTTATAGTTTCTCTCGTCCCACCCCACGTCCCATATTCAGACCATCAAGCTGCCAAGCATTTAGTTTATCCTCATAACAAATCTATTAATTTTCCCATTTTATGTTTGAGAAAACTGAGGATTACAGTGCTTAACTAACCACTTGCCAGAGGTTACACACTGAATATATGATTAACTGAGACTTAAAAGTACGTGTTCTGATTTGGTAGTTTGGGTTCTTGACCACTGCCTCCTTGCTATTGTAAACATGATCTTTTATATTTTATGACTTCAATACCATCTGTAGTCAAACTTTCCATGAAACAGCCTCCACTTTGGTTTTCCTCAAATTCTCAGCCTTCCTAAACCCACTCTGCTCTTTTTACTTTTGCAAATGCTGTTTTCCATCCTCACCCTACCTTCCTTCCTGACCCAAAGTTCAATAATCTTTTAATCCTATTTCCAACTTCCTTATAAAGCTAGTTGCTTCCCCCTCTCTGCTGTAACAGTTCCTTGCACTCATGTCTATATGTCAATGTTGATTTCCACTTGGTTTACCCCATTTTCCTCCCTCATTCCTCCTAGGAAAGAACCATGCCTAACTATTCTTGAGATAGTCCTCTTTAGAGACCTGCAAATCATGTAACTGATGATGTCTGCAAGGAAGATCTGAAAAATCAGTACATCAATTTATTTAAATGGTTTCAGGCCAGGTTATCTACATATTACCTAGCAACTCTTTTTAAGTTTTGATCGTTATTTTGCCTACCTGTGCCCTAACCCAAATTTTAGCTCTTTTTAACTTTTCCATTTGAATATGTGGAAAACCAAGGAGGAAATTTAAAAAATTAAAAATAAAAGCAACTCACCTGGGACTTCATCTTTTCTGCTCTCTTCTAAAAGAAGAGATGCCTGAAAAAAGCAAAACAGGTGATCAGAAGGACGTTTTCACAGACCAGACCCAGAATGCAGCTTCCTATTCACCATTCTACAAACAACTAGGACCAGAAGTTGGGTGGATGACAGGCCAACCCGTGGGAGAAGGTCGTTGGGTCCTCGCAGAATGTTCAGCAAGCACCATGTGAAGGAAGTCCTCTTCTGACCACGTAGAACTTAGACAAGGTTTTTTAATTGTATAGAGTGAAGATGTTACATGTTGATTTACTGACAACTTACTCCGCCCCCCCCCCATGAACCAGCAATTATATTTGTAAAATGTTTTCGTAAGGCATACACATGGATAGATCTCTATAAAGATTTAACTGCAGACGGAGATCCCTGGCAATAAGAAAGGCAATGACCAAATGGAAAACTATGGAATGTATTTCTTTATTCCTTAGAAAGAACCAGCAACTGAATTCCAATACTCTATTATTTTCCTTCAACTCGGCAAACTCTCCTGCCAATCAATATTCATGGACCTAAATGTTGATTTCGACCTGTTTTCTGTTTAAATTTTATTGGAAGGTACATACCTGGTAAATGTTTCTCAGTCCCAGTTGGAGGCGTGCAGACAGGACTGAACTGGTTCAGAGGACGTGAGCGCTCCCGTGACACGGACACTTCATCAAAACAGATCTGGAAGGAAAACCAGGAGAAAAAATCACACCAATTTCTCGGTACCCAGCAGATACTCAATAAATGTTTCTTGAATAAAATATAAAATGATTTCAATAAACTTAGAAACAAGTAGGTCCAAAATCACACTTTTCATAATAATCCTATCCTTTTTGTTTGGTCCTGTTTTAAAATGGTTATTTCTGGGGGGAGCATCAGATTAAGGGTGCAATGATGGATTTAAGAACTCAAGTGTCCTATGACCTGTGGAAATTTTAATGGATGTAAAACCTTTTCCAGTAAATTAGGGCTGATCACCATGATGCCCTGATACCATTACTGTTCCATCCAAATCGCTGAATCCTGGGGCTTAGCAATCACATTTCCCACAGAACTCCCCTATGCCCATCACATCACTGACCCCCACAAGGACGCCCCCATCATTTAGTCCACAGCCCCCTCACCAATCACTGATTCCCAGAGTCCCCTAAATCACCGACCCAGTCATCCCCACCAGTGTGTCACCTTATGGGCCATTGCAGATTCCACAGACAACCCCGTCAATGACGCATCACTCCCCAATTACTAGTCTCATCGTTCACACCATCCCAGACTCCCAAATAAACGCAGCACCAATCCCACATTCCTTCTCCACCAAGACTTCTTAAAGCTCCAATCACTGACCCTCACGGACCCCTCCCTTCTCATTGCCAATCCGCCTTCTGACCTGCGGCTGTGTTTTCAGGTCCCCAAACGCCGGTCACATCCATATGGATGAACTCTCTCGCTTCCTGTCTGGGCGAGCAGAGCGAGTGGCCTCCGAGCCTGCGCTGATCCGTACAGGGCTGCTTTGACACCTCGCATCCTCAGCGGCTTTGTTCAGGAGGCAATGTGGCCGCCCCCGCGCTCTGTGTGTGAATGGGAGCCGCCCTGTTGAGAGTCCCTGCAGTTCCGTACGCGGAGGAATTCCTTCATTCCCAGCTGTGGTTAGCAGCGCCGCGGCTGTGAGGGAGGGGAAGTGATGGGAAGGAGGATGATACAAACCAGTGAGGCGCAAACTTTGCAGAGAGATTTTACAGGAGTACTGGGGAATAGTAACTGCCAAAATATTTGGGCAAAGAGCCCAGCAATGACTGAATGTTTAGAGACTTGCAAATCTGCTATACTTTTAAAGCATTCTGACACATGCACAATTCAGGTGGCAAAGAGTGGGAGCCATACTGGCTTTAGATGTCTGATATAACTTCTGTTCAACACCCTAACTCACTTCTATTTTGTGCAGGTGCAGGGGAGCCCCTTAGAGACCCTGGATTTAAAACAAAACAAAAACTAAGCAGAGAAATTGGTAATAACACTCCATGGGAGAAACAAATGTCACAGTTTGAGTCTAAGCAAGTTAAATGTTTTTATACCAAAAACAAAATCTTCAGAAGGACCAGCAGAATTCAGAGACACTACATTACAGTATATGGTCTACGATGTAGTTTTCAACCAAAGAAACAGGAAAATATGAACAAAATCAGTCAATAGAGACTGACTTTAAGTGGGTGTAAATGTTATATTTAGCAAACAAAGTTATTAAAGAAGCTATTATAAACATTAAATATTTAAGGGAAAATATGATATAAGTGAATGAACAAATAGGCAATTTCAAAAGAAAGTACATAAAAGAATGAGTTGGACTATAAAGAGACAGCAAGTGGAAATTTTGAGAGTAATGGAGCTTTTTTATGTCATGATTGGGAGGTAGTTAACTCACTTTATGTCTTTGTCAAAATTTAAAGAAGGAGTAATATGTATTTTATATAAATTAAAAAACAAAAAAAATTCCAAGGCTGAAATAAAAATTTGACTAGATGGGTTCATTAGTAGATTTGACAAAGCACAAAGCAAAATCAGAATTGTAAACTGGTAGCTAAGTCACTACAAATTATCCAATCCAAAGAACAGTAACAGCAAAAAGATTATAAAAAATTAAACAAAACCTCAGTGATCTATGGAACAATATTAGGCATTCTAGCATATAAGTAATTGGCATGATAGAAAGAGGGGAAAGAAAGAGGCAAAAAATGTTTGGAGAAATGTCTTTAAAATTACCAAATGTCATGAAAAACATTAATTTACACATCCAAGAAGCTCAATAAACCTCAGAGAGTATACCTAGACAACTAGCCACATTACCTTGGCTAGTTCACAACACTGAAAGCACAAAGAATAAAATGTTGGAAGCTGATCCAACCTACAAAAGAGTCTAACAATTCACTAAGGCACAGAAGACAGGTTCACTCAATATCATAAGTTATACAATCACAGGAAGGTAAATACCGTTCAAGCTATTCAACATAGGTTTTTGAAAATAAGTAAAACATATTTTCAATGTTTAATTAATTGCAGGGTAGTAGTTTTACTATATTTCCATTTCTCTATACAGCTATAACCAACAGTAAAATAGTGTTTAATGTCTTGACAAGAAAAGTTTAAAGGTCACAAAACAATTAGGGTTAAAAGGTTACTTCCCAGGAACCTACAACAAAAGCCAGCCAAATTCTTTATTACACAATAGTAAATGCTGTTTAGGCCTTTCTTTTTGTTGTAATTTTCAAGCCACATGAAAACTGTAATAACACGGAAGGTGATTATCCAATATTCTTTTTTCCAAATAACCAGTTTCCCTCGAAGCATGGCTACCTATCAGATAGGGCACTGGTTAATGTTGCACTAGATCAATTTGGAGGAATAGCATCTTCATAATATTACACTGTCCTGTGGAGGAAAGCTGCCTCTCAGCTTTTTCAAGTTTTTCTTTTTAAATATTACTCAGACGAGTTAGCTATTAGTCTTTTTTTAAATTGATTTTTTTTTTTTTTTGAGAGAGAGAGAGAGAGAGAGGAAGGGAGAGCAATGTCGATTTGTTGTTCCACTTTTTTATGCATTCTTGTATGTGCCCTGACCAGAGATCAAACCCACCATGTTGGTGTATCAGACGATGCTCTAACCAACTGAGCTACCCGGCCAGGGCTTAGCTATTAGTCTTCATATTTGTGTAATCTATATGCATGTGTGTGTGTGCTTAGGAAATAGCCCACTTGGTCACAGAATACTAATTTAAAGCACTGTAAGCCTTGATTTGCAGGCATTTTAAAGAAATCTCTAAGATATATTTCCCCTTTCGTCATAACGTTTTACTCACAGATCCATCCAGGGAAGTGGAAATGCTGACCACAAGAAGCAGGAAAGGCCTTGGGCTCAAACTCAATTTCCACAGTGCAGCCCTCACATCTTCAGTGAAATGTGATCTCACCAGGCAGAATTCTTGCAACGGAGAAGGTCTGGTCGCCATCCCTAGGCTTGTCGCCAAGCGCCGCCGGTGCCTCCCTGAACCTGCGTCTTTCTTAAGGAGAGTATTGGGAACGGAGGTGGGGACCGCATGCTGGACTAAAGCCTCGCGTGCACCTGACCTATCACTGCGCCCTGTACCCCTCCGAAGCACAGGCATTCTGGGAGATGCAGTTTGCAGGCGGAGGAACGGGCGTCCTCTTTTGCGCAAGTGCTCTCCTTGCCCTCCTAACACTACCCCAAGGGGCCAAGTCCCTCACTTGGCTGGCCTTAGTCACAACTGGGGGTGTGCTGAGCCGAGGAAGTGGCAGGCAGACAACAGAACTCAGCAGGACTTGGGGGAAGGTGTGCCCTGGAGTGTGTCAAAAGCTGCTGTGAGCCCTAGCCGGTTTGGCTAGGTGGATAGAGCGTTGGCCTGGGGACTGAAGGGTCCCAGGTTCGATTCTGGTCAAGGGCACATGCCCGGGTTCCAGGCTCGATCCCCAGTAGGGGGTGTTTAAGAGGCAGCCAATCAATGATTCTCTCTCATCATTGATGTTTCTATCTCTCTCTTCCTCTCCCTTCCTCTCTGAAATCAATATATATTTGGTCCGTGTGCTCGAGTTAAACTGGGCGGGCGGACCGGTGGGCGGGCCCAGGACTTCGTTCTTGCGGGTACACTTGCACCTAGGTGTCCTGCCCTGCGCTCCCAAGAGTACCCAACCCTGACACTATGATGAGGAGTGCCTCCGGGATTTGGAAAGAGAATCAAGCTTTACTGAAGGTCTGAAATGTTCCAGATGAAGTGTTTCCATAGGTGACTAAATTTAACCTTAGAGCAACCTTGTAAGCCAGTCTTTCAAACTATGGGCAGCAACCCAGTAGTGACTATGGATGTTAAGTCTGCTTGGTGACTGAAGACTAGTATATTTATTTGCCAGTACTTTTCTTAAGTTGGGATACATTACATAGAGTGTTTTGCACATAATTTACATAGAATAAAAGTGTAAAATTTGTTGTAAACTCACCAAAGTAATATAATATTTTAATCCTCCAGAAAGTTCTGCCCTTTTCCAGTCAACCCCTCCCCGCACCTGCCCCCAAACGACCAGTTTTCCAGTTTCTATCTCTATAGGTTAATTTTGCCATTCTACACCATCATATACATGGAATCTTGCAGTATCTACTCTTGTATGCAGGCATTTCAGAAATTAAGTAAAATAGCATATATGTATCCCATGTGATAAGGATTTTTTATGAAACTTATTCAGAGAGAGAGAGAGAGAGAGAGAGAGAGAGAGAGAGAGAGAGAGCGCATTTGTGCATTTGTGACATGGTTCCTGGTGCTGGGGATGCTACACTGAATCAAACAGACAAAAATCCCTGCCTTCATGAAATTTCAGTTTTAATTGATCTAATAAGTTTATTTTTAAAAAGGAGTAATGGCAATATATTGGTTGACTGTAGCCTATGGGTAAGTGAAATGAATGGTAGCCATGTCATGAAGAATGGGAGGGAGAAACTGTCCTTTAATCTTTGTCTTTATATATGAGTTTCTTGTGGACAACATACACTGCTGGCGGGAATGTAAACTGATATAGCCACTTCGGAAAACACTCTGGAAACTCCTTAAATGACTACACACAGAGTTACCATAGGACCCCAAAAATCCACTCCTAGGTATATCCAAGAGAAATGAAAACTCATGTCCATAGAAAAACTTGTACACATATGTTCGTAGCACCACTATTCACAACAGCTAAAAGGTAGAAACAACCCAAATGTCCATCCAGTGATGAACAGATAAGCAAAATGTGGTATATATCTATACACTAGGATATTCTTTGGCCATAAAAAAAGAATCAAGTACATGATACAACTTGGGTGAACCTTGAATACATTGTGCAAAGTGAAAGAAGCCAATCACAAAAGACCACATGTCCTATGATTCCATGTATACGAAATGTCCAGAGCAGGCAAATTCTACAAACACAAAAAGTAGACTAGTGGTTGCTTAGGACTAGAGGAAGGGATGAGGGGATAGGGGTATGATGGATAAGGGTATAGAATGTCTTTGCCAGTGTTCTAATATTTTCTTAAATATGTTTTTAAAAATTTATCTTTATTGTTGAAAGTATTATAGCCCAGCTGATGTGGCTCAGTGGTTGAGTATTGACCCAGGAACCAAGAGGTCATCAGTTTGATTCTCGATCAGGGCACTCGCCTAGGTTGCAGGCTCGATCCCCAGTAGGGGGTGTGCAAGAGGCAGCTGATCAATGAATCTTTCTCATCATTGATGTTTCTATCTCTCTCTTCCATTCCCTTTTCTCTCTCTCTAAAAATCAATAAAAGTATATATTTTTTAAAGAATTACATATATCCTTTTTTCCCCCTATTGACCCCCACCCCCAGGCCTTCACCAAATGGGTTATGCATATATGCATACAAGTTATTTGCTTAATCTCTCCCCACTCAACCCCCACCCCGCCTTCCCTCTGAAATTCTTTAGAGAGAGAGGAAAGAGTAGAAGAGTGAGAAACATTGAAGTGAGAAAGAAACATTGATCAGCTGCCTCCCACTGCACCCCAACCAGGGGTTGAACCCATAAGCTGAGTATATACCCTGACCAGGAATCAAACCCATCAATCTTTTGGTGCACAGGATGCTCCTCAACCAACTGAGCCACA